GTTCACGGGGCACCTACTATGTGCCAGGCACTAGGCACACATCATTCCTGCCTAGGAGGTGCCTGCTGCTGTCTGAGCTCATGCACAGTCTCTCACACATACAGGCATCTGCACACAGACACAGATACGGGCACATACAGACGTGCACACGCATGCAGACAGATACACATTTACGCAGACAGAACTCCACAAACATATGGAAAAGCACGTGTGCAAACGTGCACACAGATACACCAATATGCACAGAGTACACACATGCACTTAGGTAGACTCAGATGTGTGCGCACGTGGTTGCACATTGTCACATGCACACCCACATACACATCACAGACATGCAGACACACGCGGGCAGACTAGCACATACACACACACGCTTCCTTCAGAAGCAACAGCAGGAACACAGGGGGCAGGAGCCAAGACCACAAGGGACTGACTGGACATCGGACCACTGAGGACTTCCTGAGGCTCCCGAGCCCAGTCCAGAGGCCTGGCTGGTTCACCAGGAAGGGTGGGAGCTGGACACTGTTCTGCCCACTCTATCTGACTTGCTGGAGTCCGTGGGATTCTCCCAGATGATATGGCAGAAGGTGTCTGAAGGCAGTTGGAGACACACAGATGTGTTCTGCGACAGGAGGCAGTGCCTGAGAGAGGTCTCTTCAGTTCCCCTTCTCAGACACACAGGGAAAGTGGGCGGCAGGAAGGTACCAGAAAATAGGGTCCAGGACTAAGCTGCCTAGGTCTGAAAAGCCAGGACGCCTTCCTTAGGGACTCTGACCCCTAGCATTGGGCAGCCTAACCTAGCTGCTGTCCCTAACCCAAGCCCCTCAGAGGACAAAAAGGCTCGGCCCCACCCTCAAGGGTCCTCAACCCTCTCACTTCTGGGCATCAGGGGCAAGACTGGGGGGCTGGGAATAGAGGGTGGAAACCCACCAGGTCTGGGGAGAAGAGGTCCCACCTCACTTTTGGGTTCCTCCGTGCCCCCTTCGATGCCAGAAGTCCATTCCTGTCTGCACCCACCCCCTACTAGCAGGCCCGGTGGGAGGGCTAGCACGTGCACCCAGCCCCATGCTAGGACCACTATACAGGATGGGAGGGCTGCGGCCGCGAAGCCCTGGCGCGTGGGGAGGAGGGTATGTCCTCAAAGCTTGTAAGATTAAAGGAAGATATGACAGAGACAGTAGGTATGCTTCATCCAGTCCCAGGGGACAGAGCCAGCAGAATATACAAGGAGGCGGAGCGCAGCTCCAGGACAGAAAAGCCTTTCTAACCTGGTTGGTCTGGGAACTACCCAGATGGGGTTGGGAGCATCCCATCCCTGAAAGGGTCCGTCCATGAGGCCTGAGTAGGGATTCTGGCATCAAGGTGAGGCACAGTCATGTCCCCTCAATGCCTTCCATTTGTCTCTACAGCCTGGCCTCTCCACTGGGAACCACGCCCCATGGGGGCCTGGGGAGCCCAGACGAGAAAATTCTCTGAGAATTTTGCTGAAGTCTGAAATCCTTTGGATCTCCTATCTCTGCTGACCTGGCAAGGAACCACTCCGGGAGAGAAAAGGGTCTGAGGGATCCCCCACTGCCCTCTCCTACCAGAAGCCTCTACTGGTCCCCAGTGCAGACTCCCTCCACCCCATAAGCCCCCCAACCGGCTAGAACCCAGGCTGTTTGCAACGCCCATTGTTTTGCTGGTGTCCTGGATTAAGGTTTAAGCCACCAGCTGCCCCAGTGACGAGAAGTAGCTGGGACAGGTCCCCGCACGCCCCCCGCCCTGGCACGTATCCTGCCAGGAGCTGCCAGCTGCCTGGGGTGCCACCCCCTGGGAGGCCTGCATATAACCCAGGGGAGTGGGCATGCCTTCTTCAGCTCCCATGGTCCCCTCCTCACCCAAGCACTATTGGCACCCCGGCTCTTATCTCTGCCTCAGCCTTTTCTGTTCTGTCCTTCCATCCCCTCCCCCACCCCTCCTAGCTAGGCTCCAGAGAATGCCAGCCATCCTGTCACAGCGGCCACAGCCCCGGCTACCCCCAGGGCTGGCAGCGTTCCTGTGGGGAAGTTCCGGAGGGCTAGCCTCAGTCCATCATGCTATTACACATGCATGTTTCCTCTCCTGCCCTCGGCCCTGGGACAAGACTGGGTCTTGCTCTCATCTTGGGGGCAGGAAGGTGACAGATACAGACAGCTCCAAGAGGAGCCAGCAGTGACAACTAGAAAGTGATTAGACTGAGGAAGTACAACTCACACATCTGCCTCTCTGCCTCTCTGCTGTAGGCACAGAGACAAGGGGGCGGAGAGGGAGGCCCTGGGGTGCCGAGACTTCACACTCCTTAAACTCTCCTAGCCCTGATCTATTTCCAAACCCTTCCACCTGCGTGTCAGGAAAGATCTCCAGAAATACCAGCTGATGGTGGCAGATGGCCCCCCGCCACAGATTAGGCAGAAGCCGGAGCACAGTCGGTTGGCAACACCAGGAACCAGAACCCAGGAGTCCTGCTCCTCCCCCAGGGAGCATGAAGAGGTCATTGCAGGGAGCACAGCATTCGGGCTGGGCATGGTGCCCACTGTGACTCACGCCCTGCCAGCCCGGTAGATCCCGGACATCAGAAACACTGCCTCCCCCCGCCCCACCAGCCATGTCGGAACTCACCCTAGATCACTCTCCACAGACCGGCTGGTGGGCGTGTTCTGCCACCTCAACCTCCTTCCCCACTAGAAAGCCCCCACTGCCCCCCCTCCATCCAGGGCCCCTGGCGAGGGTAAGATGGGCGGTGCCACCAGTGCCTGGTTAATGTACCCCAGCCTAACTCCCATCCCAACCCAACCAAACTCCAGCATTCCCCCACCAATTCAGTCCCCTGCATCACTCCTCTGCCGGTAAAGCAGAGGGCTGAGCCCGCTGGGGTTGTCATCCAGCACCTCCGGAAAAAGCTCCAAGTCACAAATCCTGCCACCCTGAACCCCATCTCTCAAGCCCACTCCCCACTCCAGGGACATCGGTCCCGGAATGAAGGGCGCACATCGCTCAAAGGTAACAGGGAGTAGATCTGTCCCGCCCAGATACTGACAAGGCCTGCCCTGGCCCTGGCCCCGGCCTCC